GTACTTTGTAGTAGTACAGCATCTTGTTTGCAGATGCTCTGGTTGAGAGCAACTGATGGAAGGGGGAAGGGACCCAAAGCTGACTGACCTAATTACTGTGTGGATTGAGAAGCTGGCAAATCATTAGGGTTTTTTTTTTATGTTTTCTTTCTATACTATAATAAAGATAAATATTGATTGCTAGAGCAATATTGATTGCAGGGGTCACTGCAGATGGCAGCTGCATGATTTGCACAAGTATCTCCCATGTACAGAGCTGCTTATTTGCATGAGAATGCAGTTTCAAAATCCTCATGTGTTGCAGAATGTTCACTTGCCTTATAGAAGCATTTACCCAAACTATATATATCAGTGATTAGCAGTAAAATATGAAACAAAGGACTGAAACTGTTCATCTTCTTAATACATTTTGTGTGTGTGTCTGTCTGCCGTGGGTAAGTGGAGTTTATTGTCCCAGCCATGCGGAAAGAAGCACAGGACACAAGGGACCTGCTGTAATTGTGCTGCAACGTCACCACCTCACTTGGGAATACCACCCAGGTGCACAGCAAGCCTGAGACCGACGCTCCTTCCTTCACCCACTGACCTAGACACTGAACATGCCAAGCCCCTTCATTCAGGCCTGGATGCCTTCCTCCAAGCTCCCAGCTTTGGGTCATCAGGGACACAGTGTCCCCACAGAACGGTTTCAGCATCTTCTCCTGAACTGAACCTGCCCGGTGGGATCCTTGTCTGCTTGCAAGAAATGGAAAAGACCCCTCCAGCGTGGGCCAGGCTCATGAGGAAGGAGGAAAGTTGCCTACCACAAGCATGGTGTCTGTGGCAGGACACAAACCCCTAGGCTCAGCCAAGGAGGAGTCCTTGGGGTGTGTGGGACTGAGTTGTGGGAAGCAGCAGGGGTATTTACGCCCCTTTTTATCACTGGTGCAAACCCCCAAGTGGCCCATTCGAGGTCAGGCACCTCCTGCCAGGGATACTGCTGCCTCTCTCCTCCACCTGCAGCCTCCAGGAGGGAGGGAGGAGAAGGCAGAAGAGCCATATGCGGAGACGGCCTCCTTACTTCCTTGGATGCTGCCAGGCTGCAGGAAAAGCACTCTCTCCCGAGCACGTTGTACATCTCTGTGTGTCTGTCTTATAGCTAGCAAAATGCATCTTATTCTGGGCAGTGCTGCACTTTGAGACTGCTGCTGGCTGACCTGCTGATATTGAAATTCAAAGGAAAAGCATGCATATTTAACCCCAATTCATCATTCTGATTTTGATTAACTCTACAAGTCAGAGGTTTGCAGGCTTTAATCTTGTTTTAAGAAAACACTCCTGTCCTCTCTTCTCAGCGTTTTCCAACAGGAAATTCAACAGAAGGGTTTTTCCTCTTATTTATCTCCTTCCACTTACTTGGACACATTGTGGACCTCTGAAATAGCTGCCCAGTATCTATCCAAACCATGGCTTGTCCAGTGTAGAGAGTGCTCTTATTTCCTCAGTGGCCCGTAAGGAGGAGATTAATACTGGAATCCAGGTTTCTGACGTGGTTATGCACTGACACTAAGCCACTTTAGCAGATGAGCAGGCACTCCATTTGGTGAGTACTATTTATATACAGTGAGTGAGTATTTCATAGATGCTTTTTGGAAGATCTTAGAAATACACCACGGTTCAGAATGTTACGCTTCATTCTTCATTTCCTTTTAAGTATATCTCTCGGGGTGTTATGTTGAGTAGCCCTGTCTTACAAAATCAATTATTCCTTAGCCAGCTCAGAAATAAAACCCAAAGTAAGCAACACCAAATGTCTGATTTACCAATAGATTGCAATCCAGCGCTAAAGAGCATAGCCACTGCCCTGCTTTAAATATTCATGAAGCCCACTGGTGCAAAATGCATTAAAGGTGGGAATAATGCCAGTAATACATGATCCTCTTAGTGACAAGAAGCTTTCACATATTAAAGTAGCAAGATGTTAAAGACTTTCAACTGAACAGTCTTTGTTTTTAACCTAGAGAAAGAGATTCACTAATGGAATGCCAAATTGCATTCGCCCTTGTGATATTAGACTGCAGAATACGGTAATAATACATGTGTGCTTTACCATGCTGCAGAAGACCTGTTATTAAAGTGGGTTCTTTTCTGCCTTTTCTTTGTACTTTCCAGAGAGCGTTCACACACATATCTTACCCCTTCAAGTAGTCTTCTATGTGAAAAGCCCTCTATCAGAATCCCAGGAGTCTAGTCATTAACAGATTGGTTTTACGCAAACAAGATTTAAAAATAATGGTGACACAGTACAATAGCACAATTTAGCTGAGTGACAACTGGCAATGAATAACCAAAAGAAAAAAAAAAAAGAAAAAAAAGGAAGAGTTAAACCAGTGACAAGGGACTGCAAAATAACAGACTGTGGCAATGCAGAATAATGTTAATTGTCGCTTTAAATCAGCAGCAGCCCAACCACATCTGCTATCACACCTGTGCTCTCTTCTCTGATCTACTCTGGCACCCTAGAAATATTAGGCAAACAGCCAGCCTCATATCGCCAGCTCTCTGCGGTCTGGCTCTGCTACCAGCTTGTATCCCTCTTACCTGGAATGGATCAGGCATTGACCCTGCACCCTCAAACTGTTTCTGATAGGGGACACTGCTGGTGCCAGGCTCATCACCCTGTAACAACAGGTCCCAGGGCCACTTGGACCCAGTGACCCCATTTGGATTTTACAAAGCTCATCAGTCAGGTGGGATAGCTAAAGAGCCCTGCTTACATCTGAAATTTGATCCACGTAAAAATAGTGTTCAAATAATAAACTGAAATTTCTTTTCCCACTCAATCTAAGGACATTTTCTGCATGCCAGATCTTGGCAGGGGGAGTGGGACAATATGTCTATCTGGTGCCAAACATGGAAATTCAATTAATGTACATTTAAAAGAGGGATGTAGGTCCCCCACACATAGTCTGCTTTTATTCTAGAAATAAGAATAACAAAGACCTAAAACCCAGAAGGCTCATTTTTTAGAAAGACGTTTATCCAAGACTGATCAAGGGGCAGGGACAGGAAAACAGGGCTGTGTTACGGCATATGAAGTTGTTTACTTCAAAGCAGACCTTTAACAGGCTTTACATGGTCTTTGTACTTCTGGCTGGAAATCTGCTTTCCTGCCTTTTAACAGTTTGTCTGGTAGCATCTTCCCAGTAAATGCCCTTCCCTGCTTCCCGCCCCAAGAAGCGTCTTCCCCTACAGAAAGACCGTCTGTCAATAAAGATTGAGAACTTCAGCTCCTGCAGTCATTACACTGCTCTGTATAAGCCAAGTTGTTTCAAAGGGGAGGAATTAGATAGCGCAAAAGCTGCAGCGGGAACATAACTGGGGTAGGTTGGATCAGACTATTTTACCAAGCTATTTCTGGAAAAAAATAAACACTGCTACTCGGTGCTTATGATTAATAACGTTATCGTGTAGCTAATTTTATTCCTTGCCCCTCTCTTCTCCTGCCTTCCAATTTGGAAATGCACTTAATTATGAAAACATGAGCACTAGACTGTGAATTTTGATATATTAATTTTACCATGGTTTTGTTTCTACACTGCACCACCAAAACTCTCAAGGACAACCGGTCAAGGAGACAATGAAAATCCTGACACCTGGGGTAATTTTCTTAAGCAAAGTCAAAATTAAGCAATTTCTTCCACACAAATCTCATTACATTACTGCAAACCTATAACCATGATGCATCTTGCTCCTGTTTTTCAACACCACAATTTCTTCTGATGACCGGAGCCAGAGCAAGGCCTCTGTGGTTTGTTTACTTGGTGTTTTTGAAAGACTAGAAGTGGAGGTTATTAAAAGCCTGGCAAGACAAAATGAAAACAAGCACAAATGGATGACCATGACCATATTCCTAAGCTTCTTCACTGAATAGCAGAAATGTTCATAATTTCATGCCTGACCAACAGTGCACGGATACCTTGCTGGGATGAGGTCAACTGCCCAACACTGGGCCCAATTGTCATGTTCACCGCTCATTCATTCATTCATTCATTGACTCCTCTCTGCTCCATTCCTACCATCCAAGTTGGAGTTCGGGCAATATTGCTTTATTGACATCTCACTGCCCAGTCTCTGTATCCATCCTTTAGCTACCACCAGCCCACAGTTTCAGAAGCATCATCCAGACAACAGCTCTAACATTTGCATGATTATTTTGCTGTCTCTCTAAATTTGTATTAATTACTTAGATAGAAATACGAGGCTTGGCATTAAGGCAGTGTCAGAAGTACAGCTCTGTGAATAGCGGCTTTTTTGATCTATTGGCCATTCCAAAATCACAATAAAATGACTAGTTTAAAGTTGGCTTGATAGATGTTTGCATAGCTTCTAGGCAAAATGAAAAAAAAAAAAATTTCTAAGTAGATATAAGTATTTCCCTTCAGCTTATGTGGTTAAGGTTTAAAATATTAAAAAACCCCTGAATACGTTGGAAACTTCTTTAACAAAAAACAACCAAAACCAACCCAAACAATTTCCATTGAGAAAATGTCTAAATGTACACTCTAATTATTTCAAACATTTGAGGATTAGGTCTTCAATTCCAGCAACTAGGAAAAAGTGAGACAGATTTCCCAGTGTTTCTAATGCCACACATGAATTAACATGATGATAATACTAATGATACTTTTTAACTGGAAAAGCTTTAGGTCAATTATTTTTCCCAATTCTATTTTTACCAAAGTATAAAGCTGTAAAACCCCAGATGGAATAACATAAGTTATAACAGCAACAAAATGGATAACTGTGTTTCTAGACTTTGTCTAAATTGTACATGTTCCAAAATTATAAACCAGACTGTTTTATACATTTTTTCAGAGTAATAACCACCTCAATCACTGTGTGATGAATCTCTGGGTGCAGAAAATTGAGTATCTAATATTTGTAATGCTTTCTAAACCACAGTACCTTTAAATAATACAACATTCATTAAAATAGAAGAGTAGACCAAATTACTGTACCAAACATCCTCTGCATCTTCGTCACACTCGGCTCCAAACTGGCAAATGTCACAGGTCGATGTCTCTTTTTGATTGGTTTCACCTGAGCCTTCATTGACTGTTTGATGGAAAGCAGAAGAATATACATTAGTTAAGACAGCACTGTAGCAAAGCACTCCTCTCTAGAAAAATCTATTCCTGCATCAGCTTAATGCACTTCTCACAGAGCCGATGCCTGGCCAACAGATGTTATTTTTGAATGGGGCCAACACAGAGATTTCCATATTGGTCTGTGATAAATTCCCTGAATTATGGAGTTAAAAGGGAAACTGGAGAAAGACCCTTCCTCTTCCTTTTCCACTTAAACAATGACCCCTTCAAGCTGTAGCCCAGGAAGGTTGTGTCACCACTCAGCCTCACTGCTTTGTTCCCTGGGAAAATAATGGAGGTGTATTGATAGCATCACGCGCTGCCTTGTGTCCTTTACCAGTGAAGGCCTTGAGACGGACCCAAGGGGATGCTTTCCTCGAAAATGTTTTGAAATTACCTGCCGTGTGGTGCAATCTAGGCCATTCCAAAGGCAAACCATTTTTCTCTTCAGAAGTACAGCTACGAGCCCCAAGGACTAGTTATCTCTGGCAGGAAAGATTTAGTGCTGTCTAGAGGAGGGGACGATCTCCAGCATAGGTTAAACTTGAAACCCAGGAAAGTCAACGCCAATGTCTGCAATTGTGTAAGGTTTGTACCTGGCCTTTAAGTCAAAACCATGAAGGAACTAAGGGGAAAATAAAAATACAGGTGTAAGAGGACTGCAAAAAATATTGATGCCTGAGTACTGAAAGAGAGAAAGAGACCACGAAGGTAGGCACCAAGAAGAGGGTTTGTTAAGATCTAAAAGAAACCTTATCTACATTTAAAGTATATAAGCACCTTTTGATATCTTTCGAAAGATGCTGCTTTCTAGCAAGACACAGTACCTAGTGATATCCTTCTGCCAGTTACAGAATAATTAAACCAATGCAGACTTTAAGTATCAGTCAGCTTTGACTGATACTGTTATCTGCATAAACAGCCTCTGCAGTGTCATTCTTTCATTTCTCTCTTTCATTTGGAGTCAGCACTGTGGTGTAGGCCTATTACACGTCCAGATCCAACCTACCAAAGCTGGTGGACACGCAGAAGTGTGTCGGTAGCCCCAGTGACATTGATGGGACAAATCACCTGCCTGATGTTGTACATCCACTACGTGAGACCGTTAACCTGGGTGTTACCCGTTAACTGGGTTGTTACCAGAGGCTTTCGCGTTGGAGTGCTCTGACTTTGAAATAGGCTGCTTTTGTTATTTACTCAAGAAAGGACAGAAGTCCCAAGCTTTCACAAAGCTGTTGGAAGAGAAAGGGCTTTTGTCCCTAGAAAAGCAAGTGTGACCCCGATGCCTGTTTTTCAACAAGCTTGCGTTCTTACCCTGGACAAGTTATTTAACCTCTGTCATGTTTCCCACTGTGTAAAACGGGAATAATAGCACTGTCTACCAACAGAGAATATGGAAACAAGTATATTAAAAGATTGTGATATGCTTAGATACTGCAGTGATACAGTCCACAGAAATACCTAAGGTAGACGGTTTGCCTAAAAAGTTTTTTCCTGAGGCTTAATATAGTCAAAGGAAGTGTTGGTATGTTTAAGTATGAGCTATGCTGCAGCACTTTATTATCAGTCATGCTTGAATTTAGACTATATTAAGTTGAAAAAATTCACCTATGATGAGCATTCTGATTATCCTAAAAGGAAAAAAAGAGGGGTTTGCCCTATTTGTACAAGTTTGCTCACCTTTATATCAATAAAATTCACATACAAAAAGCAAAGGGGAAACCAGGAAACATATGCTGGATTTTTGTTCTACTGCATTGTCAGGCTTTGTAGGGAGGGTCTGAGCTGTGGTTTTTCTGTTTCCTTAAATGACTGAGGAACTCTTTAGGGTCACATTTTATAAAAGCCAATGTACGAGGGTGGACAAGGTGTCCAAGTGCCATGTTCTCACACCATTAGCATCTCCATGTGCTGCCTGTGTGAACCTGACCCAACAGCACCGGAGGCTCACGCTGCTGTACAGCTCCTCCCCACTTCTCTGCAGCTGTACCCAGGCCTCTGTTTTTCACTAAGTTTCATTTACATTTTAAATATAGAAATCTTTTTTACTGAGGAGATAACTTTGACAGCCAAACTTGGCAGGGAATTTCCAGTGGTTAAGATATTAGACAGGACATGTAATGAATGACTACATGCAAAGGACAACGGGACCTATGGGCAGAACTTATGACAGCCGAGCATTCCTCACCTACCAGGAATATGACAATTGCTCCAGTTCAGGAGGGTGAGGATATATTCTTTATGGAAAAGAGCTGTAATTCCTTTATTTTGTTATTCTGCAAATCAATTCCTTTGTATTTCCTTTTAATTAAAAACATACACCCAAATTTTTTTCCTTCCTGGAATGTTTCTATTTATTACTGTCCAGCAGGTGTGGTTTGACCAGGGACTTCACACAGTTCCACATCACACGCTGAGTAAGATAGCTACTTAAGTCATTAAAGGAAGGCATTTGAAAGACTGAGCATGTTGAAGAGAAGTAACTGATTCAGAGAAGAACATCCACGGTAAGGCACAACACAGTTCTTAATTTCTACTAGAAAATAAGAGGTCACTACTTCAGCTTTTTCTGAAGAAGCTCTGCATCCAGTGTTCCATAGTCAACATGCACTTTGTCATTAAGTGTCCAAGCATGCAGCAGTCTTGATTAAAAAAGACAGTTGTTTATCTGTCTCTCTTTTTTTTTTCTGTTTTCAGTAACCGCAGATAATATTATTCTTAACATTTCCCTAAAGTGTGTTTTCTCTCCCTACACAGATATACACGCTGGCATATGCACCAACACCCAGGACGGACACACACAGGGGCTTGTTTTCTCTGTGCTGTGCAGATAAGTGCTTTGATAAATCTGGACATCTTAGAAAGAGTTATTTTCCCAACATTTCCTGCTGCTTTTTAGCTTGAGGACTAGTGGATGCTCATTTTCTAAGGTGACTCTTTTTCATTTTTTTTCCCCGCTGCACTTGCTGATTTGCACTTGCTTTCATATCCCAACTAAAAAAAAATTGTTAGCAAAAATAATCCAGTTTCTGGGTTCCTCTTCTAAAAATAAAAGGCATACGATTCTCTTTTTCTCATGCACATTACGTAGTTCTCATATTAGCAACTGTTGAGGTTTAATGCCAAGACCCGGTAGCAACATAGTAGGGCTCCAGGGAGGCTAATTGCTGAAGCCCACCACTTATTACTCACGCAACTGAGAAATGTTAGCTGCAAGTTCCTATTTGTATTACCAAGATTAGCAACTTCCAGAGTTCAAGGAAACGTGCTAACATGGGTTAGAAGGTCACTAACATTATCTGAAAGTCACTTCAGAGACTACCTCAATCTCCTAAGCAATATAAATTCTTTAGCTGGGAAGGCACTACACACAATTTAGAGTCAATGGACTGTAGTAACCACAACAGCTCCTGTTTTAATCATTTGGTCCTTTGCTGGCGTTCTCACTGCACTCAGATCAGATAGTTGTGATTTCAAGAATATCCATATTGCTTGCAAGTCCCACAAGAAAGAGACCATTTTTGAGACATTTTACTTTGTTTCCATAGCTGAAAAAAACAGACTGAAAGTTTCATCAGTAGATTGGTCTGACTCTGTGCTTATCTCCTGCAATATCAGGAGAAAACAAAAAGCCCCAAACTGTCCCCCCACCATAGACACCTCTACTTTCTCTTTACATTTCAATCTCTTTGAGTCAAGAATCTTCTGTAGGTGCTACAACCCCAACAAATCATGCTATGACTTTATCCACACAGCTTCCCAGACTCATGCTCTACTAGGAGTTGATGACTGGTGGTTTAGTTGTTTTAACAATTAGGCATCAAAATCTCTGTGCTCGAGCTTCTTCCCAAGATGCTCAGCAAAAGTCAAAGGCAGGATGGAAGTAAACTCTGCAATTTCCAGAAAAGCAGCTCCAATGGGATGGTTAGGAATATGCACAGCAGCTCATAGACTTGATCTGATATACAAAGTGTCCCCTATTTCCTAAGTGACACAAGGGACATGCATGTAACTTGCCTGACGGACCATACTGTGAGGAGTAAATGGAAGTGGAAAGAGTAGCTGGTGAGCCACAAGGGTGAGAGACAATTAGGTGGCAACACCAGCTAACCACAAATATCTCAATCTCTCTTTGCTAACATGCCTCTGAATGCAACAGGGCAAACTCAAGAGAGCCTCAGTTCAGTTTTCATGTGGCTTTGTAGGACTGCTAACACTATTATAATAATCCTTATTCAATATATTTTAACTATACTGGAGAACACATCAAAGAAACAGCATAAAACATGATCACCACACACTTCAAAATACAGAAATATGACTATAATGAATTGTTATGATTGTTTTTTGTATTATGTAGTCTCCCTTTGATTGATGTGATCAGATGCACGCTCATTGCAATCCCTGATTCTGACTTGACTCCTCTCAGGGGGCTATTGTTAAAGAAGAACTTCAAACAAAGCTTGCTCTAGCTCATCCTAACAGGATATCCACTTGTTTTTAGCTATAAAATCTAGGTAATAACAAAAATCATGTGGAGATGAGGGTTGATAGCCATTTCTGTATTTTGGAATGAAAGACAATGTGCAAATTAAAAAGTGGAGGAGGAGGAGGAGGAGAAGAATGCTCTTCAGAGCAGCTGAGGTGATCTTGCCGCATGCTTCAGTCCTAACAGGAGTGCTCTGGGCAGGTGACAAGGCGAGTGGATGAAGTGAGAAAAAGAAACCAGGGCAGAGAAGCCAGCAGAATTTACTAAATGTGTTAGAACAAACACTACCTGCACCTCTACCAAATGGCTAAAAACACCTCACAAACTCAACCAATAAAAGCCCAGATGCTGCAAGCGACTTCACTCTAATCAATAAGTCTTTTTTCCTGAAAGCATTAGCTCAGTCAAACCTGCAAAGTGAGAAAAATGAAGGGTGCGAAGCAGGGGGTCGACTCACGAATGACTCTGCTCTCACAGTC